TCCAAGCCTGCTAGAAAAAACGAATCAAGAGTTTCTGTCATACTTTTAGATCAAGGCTTGTTCACGGTCTACAAGCGACTTTTCGTTATGTGCTTGGCCCTGAACGTTACTGGCTTGGTTCTTGCAAGCACAGGGCATTTTCCCTATGCAAGGAACAGGGCTGCTTTGTTCTCCATTGGTAACATACTCGCTTTGACTCTCTGTCGAAGCGAGGCCTTCTTGCGTGTTGTGTTTTGGGTTGCAGTAAAGACTCTTGGGAGGTCATGGGTCCCTCTCTTCCTCAAAACAGCTACAACTTCTCTTCTACAAAGCCTTGGAGGCATACACAGTGGTTGTGGCGTGTCTTCAATTGCATGGCTGGTGTACGCACTAGTCCTCACTCTTAAAGATAGAGACAACACTTCAACGTTGATTATCGGTGTCTCCTCTTCCATTCTTGCCCTTCTTTGTCTCACATCTTTGGCTGCATTCCCACTTGTTCGGCATCTCCACCACAATGTGTTCGAGAGGACACATCGTTTTGCAGGATGGATGGCCTTGTGTCTCCTTTGGGCCTTCATCATGCTCACAATCTCTTATGACCCTAAAAGCAGATCCTACTCAAAAGAACTCGGATCAAGGGTGGTGAAAAGCCAAGAGTTTTGGGTCACGGTGGGCATCACGGTTCTTATAATAATGCCATGGTTGACAGTGAGACGTGTGGGTGTGAAAGTGTCAAGTGCTTCTGGGCATGCTTCGATGATAAGGTTTGAGGGAGGAATAAAGGCTGGGATACTTGGAAGGATAAGCCCCTCTCCACTGTCTGAGTGGCATGCCTTTGGAATAATATCAGATGGGAAGAAAGAGCACATGATGCTGGCTGGTGCAGTTGGTGACTTCACAAAGTCTTTGGTCTCAAACCCACCAACCCATTTGTGGGTTCGCCAAGTGCACTTCGCTGGCCTCCCTTATTTGGTGAACATGTATGGGAAGGTCTTGTTGGTGGCCACTGGCTCAGGAATTTGTGTCTTTCTTTCCTTCCTTTTGCAGCCATGTAAAGCGGATGTTTACTTACTTTGGGTGGCTAAGGGGATTGAACAAAACTTCGGTAAGGAAATTAAAGAAATGGTAAGTGGGTACCCAAAAGGGAAGGTCATACTCCATGATACTGCTGTGCTGGGTAGGCCAAACGTCTCTCATTTGAGTGTCTCCGCTGCAAAGAATTGGGGTGTTGAAGTGGTCATTGTCACCAGTAATCCAGAAGGAAGCAGAGATGTTGTGAATGCATGCAAACATGTTGGAATTGCAGCCTTCGGTCCCATATGGGATTCCTAGTTTCTTTTTCCTCTCTTACTCTATTTCTTGTTTAATTC